AAAAAATTAAACTAGTTTCTTATAGTGCAGATGTTATCTCAAGCCTCAGCTATTAACAAATTCAAAATATTATAGATTATATAACTAAAAACTATGAAGATTTTTTTCATGATCAGAAAATAAGTACATCTACCAAACCTCAAGTTTCTGATTCCTCTAATTTGAAAGTTAATATCCTAACCATTGGTCAGGATCTTAATCAAAATTCAAAAACTGAAATAAGTATGTTGTCTAAGAAGGTTTTATCAAACAAGAAAGCTAAGAAAATTCTTATAAGAAATAAAGCATATATAGATTTTATTATTCTTCTATTGCAACAAATATTTAAAAAAATCTCAAAACAAATATTAGATAAATGACAATATTATATTGCTTTTGAAATATCAAATAACTATAATTACTAGAAAGATAAATATAAAAATATGAGTAAAGTAGATTTTTTAGAATATAAACAAAATTTCGAAGCTAGAATGTGATTATCTACTACTCTACATAAAAAAGATTTAAAAAAACAGTATTCAGTAAATATTAAATATATATAATCTTAACTATTTAAAGTTTTATAGCTAGATTATTAAAGTTAACTTTTTTCTTAAATAATAGCACATGTTATGACCCTCTTTATTTCATAAAAAAAAGTATGTAAAAATAAAAGATTAGGAGCCCAGCAGGGCTTTTCTTTTATTTAATATTTTTTTTTGCCAAACTAGCAATATACAAATAAAAAAATATATTATTTTTTCATATCACTATAATCTTCATCATCATCTTGGTTACCACCTTTATCTAGCATTATATAGCTAGCTATATCTAGGCTTTAAGCCTGTTACTGGATTCTTATCTACTTCAAATTAGTACTATAACAAATTAGAGAGAGACCCTAGCTTGCTTCTTAATTTTTATTTTTTGTACCAATCTGTGCTTTCTTTTTTTATACAAAAAAGTTCAATTTGACCCACCTACATATCTACAATTACTGGCAGTGATATTATTGGTCTTAGTGATAATTTTTTTATTACTGCTCATTTTTCATTTTTAATAAAAAAATTATAGTAAGTAGAATTTGGTTTCATAGCTTTCATAAAATAAAATAACACAAATTACTTTTTTTAAAAAATATAAACCAAGTAAATTAAGTAAAAATATATATAAGCAAAAAAAAATGTTATTGCTAATTTATTTTATAATAGAAACTTGCTTCTTTTTATACTGTCTATTTGTTAGATCTAAAAACCTACTAGAAAAAAAAGCTATATGATTAGTAATTACATTACTCTAACACAATCTAGATCCCACCATGTAAAGCAAGTTTATTTGATTACAAGTCCCAAATGCTGAATCTATTTGGCTATTTTTTTAGTTAAAATTTAACCCCTTAAGTTTTGCCAATCACTCAAAGTAGGCTAAATTTCAGAGATGGCAGAGATTTGAAATTCTTGTAACATATAAATTTTGGTAAAACTACTAATTAAGAACATTGTAATCTTTATCTTTATAGTCTTTTTAAATCCTATTCTTATTGCAGAATCATATACATATGGGGGGGGAGTCAATAGAAAAGGGACAAATTTTTTCTAAATAAAAGTTTTCTTGACTTTAAGCTTAAATATCTTAGCAA